CCCCAGCTGGCCTGAAATGTACTGTGTAGATCAGGCTGGCCTTGAACTCACAGACATCCACCCTCCTCTTCCTCCTGAGTGTTGGGATTAAAGGCATGCACCACCATGCTGGGTCTTTCATTGTGAGATCTTCAGTCCAGCAGCATCCCAACCTGAGAACTGTGACCTGTTTCTTTTCTGAGTGTGGTGCATTGCTAAGGTTCATCCTTCTGGCCTCCTGTGGTCACCATGAGAATAAAGTACCTTCAAGGAGGCTGTACCTTCTCTAGAAACTTGAATCAGTTGCTTCTGGTCAAATGATGACTGCAGCATAAAATAAAAAGAAAAGTTAATGGGAAAGAATTGCCTGGTACAGTAGTGCATGTCTGTAATCCCAGCATTTGGGAGGCAGAGACAGTAGGGTTGTTGCAAGTTCAAGGCTAACCTGTTCTACATAGCAAATTCTAGGCCTTCCAGGGCTACATAGTAAGACCCTGTCTCAAAACCTATCAACCAGTTGACCAGTCAACTAATGAATCAATGCAAAATTTAACGGGAAAAAGATGAAACAACTTATTGCCTGTTTGTTAGAAAGATTCTTGTTCTACCCTGCGCTTGTATGATGACGAGCTTCTTTAATGGAGAGGAGAGCCTTGGAATTCCCAGGAGAACCATAAATAAGAATGGAGAAAAGAACCAAGGAGATGCCCAGGGAAAAATGTTAGCATCGCAGTCACTGATAAAGATGTGAACATACCTCTCCCTGCCCTTCTGATTTCCCTTGAAGATGGGCTAGCTGTGGCCTCCTTGATGCTGACACCATGACTTTTCCATTGCTGCTAATTTGGCAGCATTGATATCTAATAATGAGAGAATGCAAGTCCCATTATTTACCAGAAGGGTTTTGGGGAATATTTTCTAGGAATTTTTGACAAACGTTGAGGACTTTTCTAATACTTTGTGTGTGTGTGTGTGTGTGTGTGTGTGTGTGTGTGTAGACCAGAGGTCAGCACAGGGCATCTTCCTCTATCTCCCTTTACCTTATTTTTTGAGACAGGGTCTGTTACTAAATCTGGAGCTCACCAGTTAACCACACTGGCTGACCAGTGAGCCCCGGGCATCTGCCTATCCCTGCCGGTGTGATTTTTCTGTTACTTGTTACTTGTCTCTTTATGAAAGTCTGGATGTATAGGTTCTATAGCATGAAGGTTGGAGAACTCATGCTGAACTCCACAATACCTCATTCCTAGCTTTATCAAAATAAAAGCATTTTTACTGTATCAGAAATAAGCATTTTTTCACTTGAAATTTTCAGTGTGGATAAACGAAAAGAAGAAAAGGTCACCTACACTCTCAATCACTGGAAATTTCTTCTCATATTTCATTTTTTTAGTTGAAAGCATTCTAATCGTAATAATCTAGAGTAAAGGCCAAGATTTCATTTATCTATTTATTCACTTGCTAGTTTATTTTTATTTTATGTGCATTGAGTGTTTTGCCTGCATCTGTGTAATTGTACCATGTGCATGCAGTGCCTACAAAGGATAGTTAGGGATGGCTGTTAGCTGTCATGTGGGTGCTGGGAACTGGACCCAAATCCTCTGCAAGAGCACTCAATGCTCTTAACTCTTGAGCCAGCTCTCCAGCCCCAAGATTTCTTTTAAAGAGGAAATTCACCAGTGTTTTGAGGTTTTGAGATGCCACAGACATGCTGAGATAGATTGCACAAGCTGACCACAGTTGTTTCAAAATAACCTGCTATTTATGCCAGTGAGGATATCGACACCAATCTTAAAAACAGGATTCTATATCACTCTGCTTAATATTAGAAATAGTAATGCTACAAAATTAATTTTTTACCCAACTTTCTGTGATGTTCCTGAAGAAGTCAGATTATTATCTTTTACAAAGTCTCTTGCATTTTAATTCTAAACCCTGGCTTTGTTTTGAGGTTGTGGTAATGTTTACAGGAAAAGGAAAACTCAAACCCCCTTAAGGAAGCAGCCCTGGGCCCCTCCCTCTGGAGAGTTAGCACCCTGACAGCCATGTTGGGTGAGTTGTGTTGACAGACTCTGGGGACTCTTGGCCAGACCCTCATACTTCTTTCTGCCTTCCCTTTTCATAGCCTTTTTGACTTCACATTTCAAATCCTGAGAAATCTCTCAAGATTTTCTTCTCTATTCTGTCCCAGTTTCTCATGGACCATATTTGAAAGGACATTCCCCTCTGGAAATGTGACTTGCTTCTGTTTGTCACCAAATACAATTGTGAGAAGTCATCAGATGTCATCTTCAATCATTCTGACCTCTGTGGCATATGTTGATAAATGATTGTACCAAGACAGTGTTTGGGACAATAATACTTGCAACTGATTTAGTCTTTAAAGTTATTTTTTTATTGATTTATTTATTTTTTATGTGTATCCCTACATGTATGTAAGTATACTATGCACCTGAAAACCTGAGGCGGCCAGGAGAGGGTGTCTCCTGGAACTGGGGAAGATGTTAGCTGCCAATGTGGGTTCTTAGCCACCATGTGGGTTCTGGGAACTGAACCCAGGTCCTCTGTAAGAGAAACCAGTGCTCTTAACTGTTGAGCCATCTCTCCACCCCCCAGTTTTTTAAAAAAAGGGTCTTGCCATATAACTCAGACTAGCCTCTAACTTTCCTGAGTGCTGGGATTACAGATGTGTGATGCCGTGCCTGGCCTTTGGTTTTGCTTTTTGATTTTTTTGAGACAGGGTCTTATGTGTCCCAGGATGGCCTCAAACTTGCTATGTAGCTGAGGATGACCTTGCACTTCTGAGTTCTGGGATTATAGGCATGTGCCACCATACCTGGTTTTATGTGGTGCTGGAGATTGAACCTAGGGCTTCATGCATGCTAGGTAAGCACTACAAAGAGAACTACTTCCCCAGTCATCTAGATAAAATATTAGCTCCATCATTTATTAGCTGTGTGTCCTTTGACAATTCTATATTGTATTTATGCATCTTCATTTTGTCTTTTCAAATGGCATATTATAGTACCCAGTTCCCACAGTTATTATAAAGAGTTATATATGCCAAGTACTTAGAGAAACTACCTATGTGTATAGTTTATAGTAAATACTATAAAGGTGAGTGTATCATTATTATTATTCCTCCTTTAGAAAATAGCCGTTGACGGGAACAGTGGGTGCCTTTAGGAAACTCATTCAGAATTCAGTTTTTCTCCTGTCAAAATGAAAGCACTTTAGTTCCACTTAGGACTTGGGAGCCCTAGGATGTGGGAAGGAATAACAGAGGGGCTTGGTGTGTGACTTCAAGGCTGAGGACATCTGTGTCCTCCTCAGTCATCAGGGTCCTGGCCCTGTGAACTGCTGGGCAGCCTTTGTTTTTGTTAGCATGAATCAACTCAGCAGAGCAGAACTGTAACTTTGGGCTAGTTCTGACTGACCTAAATTGAAAGGAGAAATGAATTAATTATTAATAGAGCTTATTTGGTAGGTAAAATCTTTAACACAGTGATTCATGAGAGAGATAAAAGGAGGGTTTGGGTAAGAAGTATTGGGGAAGAAAGAATGGAAAGATTTTGGAACTATTTAATGATTTTTATCCTTTACATATGTTAGTCTGTTTAATATTTGATAAGATTGATTATATCTTGCTGTTAGCCTTGACCTTATTTTTCAGTTTTCCCTCCAACATTTTCTTAGGAAAATTTGCTAGTGTATATCAAAGTTGGAGGATTTTTCAGGCACACACATATATATTCAGTACATAGATCCTTCTCTTCTTTATGGTATTGGGGACAGAACCCAGGGCATCTTGCATGCTATGTAAGAACTCTACCCCTGAGTTGTGCCCTCAACCTCAACACATAGATTCTAGCATTAACTTTTATAATAATTTCTTGGTCATAAAGCTGTACATGCATTTTATGTTTGGTTAGTTTTTCTATTTAATCTGTATGAGAGAATTCACCATGGGGCTAGAGAGATGACTCAGCGGTTAAGAGCACTGGCTGCTCTTGCAAAGGACCTGGGTTCGATTCCCAGCACCCACATGGTGGCTAACAACCATCTTTAACTCCATTTCCAGAGGAAACGGATGCCCTCTTCTGAATTCCATGGGGCAACACATGACACGAGAGTACTTACATACATGTAGACAATACAGTCACATACATAAAATGAAAAAATAATAAAAAATATAAAAAAAGACCCTGTCTCAAAAAAAAGACCAAAAAAAAGAGAATTCACCTTTTTATTCTTAGCCCCCAGAAATTAATAATGACTCTTATATACATGAAAAATCACTTTAAAGACTTGTGGACTTTAATTGCTTTTATTGGAAGAATTCATCCAATAGGTGAGGAGACCAGAGACATAGCTCAGTGATAGAATACATGCTTAGCATACATGAAGACCTGTGTCAGTCTCCAGTACCAAATAAATAAATAAATAAAATAAACGAACAAGAAAACAAAAAAAAACCTCAAGATGGAGCTAGGAGAGAAAGATGTAGAAAAATAAGTCTTTGTGAAAATAATATAGCAGCTCATCAAAATATTCACTCTGATCTACTTGGCTGTTTTAGTTTCACTTTGCAGGCTGTGCAGGATCAGCTCTTACTGTTTCCAGTAAGTGGCAACATTTACGGAGCAGAGAAGGAACTGAGGGAATTAAAAAGTTTTAAAGAAAACTTGCAGGCTGAAGGCTCAGTCCTCATTTGTGTTCTCTGCTTCCTCCAGCCTGGCCTCTGGATTCGAAGTGCGTAGCTTTTCCTTTCTTTGGCTAGTGTAGAATCTAGAAGCCTAGCTCTTTTGGAGTTCTGCCAGAAACTCCAAAGAGCCTGAATAGGTCATAGGGCACAAATCTCCATTATGGCTCAAAAAGAGGCGTGGTTACTTTGTTCTTCATCAACTAAGGGAACCCTCCCCTGAGAGCTGTCATTCTTCGGGAGCGCAGTTTTTGGCTGCTGTTTTCTCATAAATGTTGGCCGAGCAGCTAATGAACATTTTATCTCTTTTCGCTTTCAGTTCACTTCTGACATTGCGATGGACATGGTATAATCTCCATCAAGTCAAAGAATGGCCGCCAGCTCTGCATTTCCCATGGAAGATGAACATGTTTCCTTGGGCATCGATGATCTGCACATTTCACTGCAAGGTACTTCAACCCCAAGTCCTATTGGTTTCTCTGCCTCTTATGGCTTTAATATGTGTGTGTGTGTGTGTGTGTGTGTGTGTGTGTGTATCTTTGTTATCCTAACTGTATAATCTAATATGCAGCATTGGAATGTCTTTCTTGCTCTGCTCTCAAGCAAAGGAAGGGATAAAGCCTATGTGAATTTCATTTGCAATATATATTACATGGTTAACCATAGTTTGCTTCTTTTATGTCTTTTTGTAGAGCAGCTTTGAATGTGCACCCTCATTTTGTTCTAATAGATGGGAACAGTAGTGATATTATGAGCGGGTGACATTTCAGTGATGTGATCACGTGTGTACATCCACAAGCAGCCTTTTCTAAAGTGGCGCTTAGCAGTATTTCTATTGTTGTTGTTCTTTTTCAAATTCATTTGTTAGTGGATTTTCCATCTTTGTTGATAAATCTTGTAAGTGTAGCTAGCTAGTATAGAAGAAATAAAGCTATGGCAAGTATTTGAAAATATTTATGAAACTCTATTAAAAGTCGTCTTAAAATTATGGGCAATAAAGCCCGGGGTGGGGGGTGGCGGCTGTGCACACCCTTAATCTCAGCACTCAGGAGGCAGAGGCAGGCAGATCTCTGTGAATTCAAGGTTAGCCTGGTCTACATAGTGAGTTCCAGGCCAGCTGGGGCTACAGGGAGACCCTGTCTCAAAAAGACTGGAAAAAAAAATTAGCATTTTTAAAATGTCAACATTTAAGACATTCCATACAAGCTATAGGTTTTGAGTCATTTCATCGTTTCGAGGTCACCTAAAATAACCTCCTGATACCTTCCTTTTAAATTAATTATTTGTTATTATTATTATTTTGAGACAGGATCTCCTTGTAGTCCCAACTAGCCTGGAACTCACTCTGTAGACCAGGCTGGCTTCAATCTCATAGAAATCTGTCTGCTTCTGCCTCCTGAGTGCTGTGATTAAAGGTGTGTGCCATCATGACCAGCCCTTTGGTGACAGATTTTGTTCTGTAGTCCAGGCTGGTCTCAAATTTGTGATCCTTCAGCCTTACCCTCCTGCTGGGAGGCATATGCCACTATACCTGGCACAAATAATTCTTTTTGACTTTGTCTTGAATAATTAGCTTCTTGTCTTTGGGGTTTAGATGGAAATCCGTAGCTATTGGAATAGACCGTATATGTGAGTGTTTTAAAAATAAATATTATATAGCCTGGTGTAGTGGCACAAGGCTAGCCTGGACTATGTAGCAAGTTCCAGGCCACCTGGGTCTACAGGGAAATCCTGTCTCAAAAAAAAAAAAATTATATGCTGGACATGATGGTACATGCCAGTAAAGCTGGTACTCAGGGGACAAAAGCAGAAGGATTGTGGGCCAGCTTGGGCTACCTAGCCAAACCCTGTTCCAAACAAAACCCAACCAAAAATAACTATTTTAATTTACATACAGTGAGAAATATTTAAATTGTTAGGAGGTAGTATTTGAAAAAGGAATTAAACATCTTCCACTATGTACTTTTAAATAATACAATAATCATAAATAGTTGGAATAAGAATTTTATTTTGATGAAGAAGATCTGTGTTCTTATTTTTCTGTAGCTTTCGACTGCATTAAGTAGTGTTTCCTCTTTGAATTTTTTTTTTTTTTTTTTTTTGAGATGGGGGGTCTCCCTGTAGCCCCAGCTGGCCTGGAACTAGGTATATGGACCAGGTTGCCTGGGTCTCACAGAGATCCACCTGTGTCTGCCTCCAGAGTGCTGGGCAGGCACCACCACACCCCTGCTAGTTCTTTGAATTTGGATGAGAGATTTTATCTGTTGAATTTTATTTGCTCGTTTGCATAATACAGATTTAAACTGCAGCTGTGTTGAAGAAGACTGTACCTGCCTTGGAGCAGGGACTTAGAGAATGCAACTTCATTTTATTTATTTGTAGACAAAAATTTTTGTCCAGGAATACAGCTAGAGTTGAAACTTCATGGTTTATAAGAAAAACAAATGTAAACCAAATGTAAACAAATGTAAGCCTTGTGTTTACTAGTTTTTGTTTCGACATTTCTCTTCAATGGCTTCCCATCACTTGGTAAGTCTTGAGGAGGCCCACTGCTTCTCCCTGCTCTGATGCTCTCACCTTTGTCTCCTCCTCATCTCCTACCTCATCCCCAGATTCCCTAGATCCGCCCCACCTCTCCCTACAGGGCCGTGGCCCTCCTGCCTGTGAGCTCTGTGTAGGTTCCCTCCAGCCTGGGAGAAGAACAGCTCCTCTATCCCAAGGCCTCTCTGCCTCCTCTGTAATCTCCCTTTATGCTGAGATAAGCCCTCCCTCCTCTGTTCTCCCCTGAATCTCTTTGAGAATTTGTACTTTTGTAATTATTATACTTGGTAATGCTTTCTTCTTCACCACAGAATGAGCTTTATTGACTTTCATGTAGAAGGCTCTAGGTTTACCAGCGCTTTTCACACAGTGTCATTTGATCCTCACAACCTCATTGCCTGCCTCCTTTTCCCTGCACTGCACTGGTTTGACATCTAAAGCACAATTTGAAAGAGAATTCCATTAGCAATTGTTTCTTGTTTACTCTGTTCTACCCATAGCAAACTTTACATCTAAAATAAGGCTAGGTGATGTCAAGCTCACAAGTTGCTAGAAAGAATTAGCAAATTATGAAGAAATGTGTGGTTTTTGTATGATGTGTTTTGAATTACAATTGATTTTCAATAGGAGACTGGTATGGGCTCTCTGGCAAGGGAGAGTGATACCCAAGCTCTGGCCAGTCTGGATGATTGACGTGTGTGATGTGCAGGGCTGTGGTGCTGGATGCTTTGTTCTGTGGGTGGCAGAAGTGGAAAGACCACATCACGAGGGCATCAACTTGACACTAAGCATGTTCTGTTCACATTAACCAGGGACCCGCAAGACACATGCACAATGCCCAGAAATCCCTGTCCATGTAGAATGAAAGCATACCTGTGGAATCGATGGATTTCCCAGGGTTAAAATCTGCACTGTTGTCTACAGATTTATAAAGGTTCTTTTAGCCCGAATTGAGGAAGGAAGAAAGAAGGGCGGGGACAGGGAAGGAAGGAGCGTGTGTGCGTACTTCTGAAGCAGCTTTGGTTTCCTGGTAAGATTATTATCTGTTTGGGCCAAAAACATAAAGTACCACTTAAATGAAGGCTATTGGCAGTAGTCTTTAAAAAAAATTTTTTTTAGTCTTTTTGAGTCAGGGTCTTCCTGTAGCCCCAGCTGTCCTGTAGACCAGACTGGCCTTGAACTCACAAAAGTCTGCCTGCCTTTGCCTGGGACTAAAGGCGTTTACCACCACACCCAGCTGACAGTAGTCTTAAAAAGCATTTGAGGGGCTAGTCAGGTGGCTCAATGGGTAAAGGCACTTGCTGAACAAGCCTGGTGACCTGAGTTCAATCCTTGACTCCCTTGTAGGAGGGAAGGCGTTGTCCTCTGACCTCCACATGTGTGCCATGGCACAGACACATGTGATAATAATAAAGTTTTTAAATTAAAAAAGCATCAGCTTTTGGGAGACAGAGGCAGGTGGATCTCTGTGAGATCAAGGCTAGCCTGGTCCACTTAGTGACTTCCAGGTGGGCTGGGACTAGGGAGACCCTGTCAAAACAAAAACAGAACAAAACACAATAAATTAAAAACATGATTTTGAGGTTGGGTGTGGTGGCATATGCCTTTAATCCCAGCACTTGGGAGGCAGAGGCAGGCAGATCTCTGTGAATTCAAGGCCAGCCTGATCTACATAATGAATTCCAGGCCAGCTGGGGCTACAGGGAGACCTTGTCTCAAAAAGACCAAAAAAACCAGAAAAAAGCCCAGACAAATATGATTTTGTTCTTGATGCAGACCTCTATTTTCTCAAACTCACATCTGTTTACTGATCTTTTTTTCTTTCTTTTTTCTTTGTTTTTTTTTGTCTTTTGATCTTTTGAGACAGGGTCTCCCTGCAGCCCCAGCTGTCCTGGAACTCACTATGTAGACCAGGCTGGCCTTGAACTCACAGAGATCCGCCTGCCTCTGCTTCCCAAGTGCTGGGACTAAAGGCATGTGCCACCATGCGTGGCTTGGTTACGGATCTTTGGAACACAGGAGGAAGGAGAGTTCATGCATCAGCTCAGAATTGCTGCTCATAAAGGTGTGTTTTTCCTTTTCATGTCAGAACCTTTCTCAGAGGCAGGTAAGGATGTAGAGTCAGTAGACTGGCCTCATTAAATCATAAATTGAAAAGTAAGTCTCATCTAAGATGAGGAAATTGTGGTCACACACTGATGTAGAATATTGTGCTCAAGAAAACATTAAAATATCAGAATAGAAGTGTAGCAGTTCATCATTGAGAGGGTGGGAGAGCAGGCTGGGAAACTGGCTGTGCTTTGCTGAAGCTCAGAGCAGGGCTGTCAGCAATGATTCCCCCCTTCCCTCCTCCCTCTCTCCCCGCCCCTCTTTCCCTCCTGGGTCACTATGTACCCAGCCA